GAACTTTTCAGATTGCATTCCTCTGTAAGAAATATATTTTATGTCTTGACCAGTCTACACTATGTATGAATAGCTCCATCACTGAAACGTACATTTCACTCTCATATTCTACTTTGGTTTTTCTTGGGTCTCAATTGCTGGTGCATACCACAAAATTGATTCCACTTTCCACTAATGTACTGTTCGTAGATCGCTGGCCTAGATGACCACAAAAGTTCCTCACTGAGCTTGCATGTCTCAGTGGAGTTGCTCCGCTGTGCCAGTGTCATGTGCACATGGCCTGAGATGCAACTTGCAGTCCTGTTGCAGACTGTTGAGGCAGAACAGAGAGGCTCTGGTTGCAAACAGCCCAGCATGTCACCCAGAAACAAGGCCCACTGCCCCCCAGGGCAAGTTACAGCCAGACCGACTGGCTGGCTTGGGCCTGGAGTGGGGAGGGACGTAAGGATAAAGAGCCAGGCAGTGCGTTTCTACAATTCAAGGACCTCGTTCCTGGAGAGAAGCCTGGAAACACCGCTAGATGGAGGTGTTTGCCTCCTGTAGGCTCCCAGTGCAGCCAGATGAAGGAGGAAGTAGAAGAGAGTCAGTGGGCAACGTCTCTGGTGCTCAAGCTTTAGACCCAGCCCCAGACCATTACGGTTTAAATACAGCATGAATGTCTGGTTCACGTCACCTCAGAGGTTTGCCCTCAAACAGATTTACTACACCAGGTCCCCACCCATGGCAATAAAGGAACTCCCAAGGGGGTGAGGAGAAATTGATGAGCCCACGGTCAGGCAGGGCTGCCCATGAAACAGTCCCTCCTCATCCTCTCCCCAGAGCAACAGGAAAGCCTGAGGATGCCCAGGGGACTCGGAATTCACACTCCGGAGAATACATGGCTGGAACCAGTACTGGAAACTTCTAAGAGTTCCTGCCAGTAGGTAGGGGAGGGGTCAAGGACAGAAGGGCCAACTACCTTTGAGGAACGCTGGCACACTTAAAAGACTTTTACTTGCAATCCTTAAAAGTAATTCATTCATGCGTTGTGCTTTAAGCCTTCTCCTGGCCTGATGAGTCACACCAGCTACTGAACATTACACAGAGTATGCCCCTCACTAACTCATAAAACCCCAATTCACTCACAAACATGAAATTGTCAGTTTCTTAGAAACGTACATGTGTGTGGTTTCTTTCTGACCAGTTCTGGTGTGTGTCAGCTGGTCTCCTGTCCCACAGAGCCCAGAAGCATCCTTTCCTCTTCCTCCTGTTTCCATTTTGAAAGGACCAGTG